TTGGAGAGATATTCAACAAATAGTAGATGAAAATTTTATAAAGTCTCATATTATGATTAGGAAAGTAATTCCTTGTGATATCATCATGAGATTTATTTGAAAAGAAGTTATACAGAAGAGTTGAATGAAGTCTCTTTTTTTTCTTGAAAATAAAATCATGTTTCTTAAACATTTTGATCTAGATATGTCATTGAATAAAGAATAAAATAACTTATTCAGATGAATATGTGATATTTAATCAATATCCGAAGAGGAAACAACAAAATATTTTATAATGTTACTTTTCGTTTTATCTTTGTTGTCCGATTTGGTTGGACTAAAACTCAAAGAAAAAAAATTATATCACAATCTTAAGTAGTCTGATTTATTCTAATGTTAATCATAAAAATGCACTGTCACAGTATATTTGATTTTATCACTCGGTTTGTTGACCTCGTACGAAATGGATTTTTTTTAGTTCTCTCACCGTAGATCTGTATTGATGCATATATGTAAGATCGAAAAAATTAATCTATTTATGCATATTAGTATAATATGAAAAAAATCATCGGTTGACGTATTGCAAGAAAATAAACCAAAGAGGTACATTTTTTTCTGTTTCAAACAAGGAAAAACGATCATTTTACACCTCACATAGTGTGTTTGTCCAAACAACACTGTCATTTAACCATGTGTAATAAATATTGATTAATCAAATTTTTTTATCTCATTTATATCGCAAATTAAATATTTTGAGAAAGTGTATTTTTATGACGGAATTATAAATAATTGCTTACCTGTTAATGGGTTTGGATATTGATGAATGATTGGCAGAGGTAGTTCCGAGAAGTTTTTAGCGCCCTTGAAAAAGACGTTATCGTATACTTTTAAATTGCCTATCAAGGAATGAATGAAACAGATACACTTACTCCTGGTACAGTCTCAATACTAGGTAATGGTGGTTGCTTCGGTTCATTATCATTGACATATTTCGAGGCCATTTAATGAAAATACAGAGAGATCAAGTTAAGGTTGATATGAATTCTTGAATAAGAAAAAAAAACCAAAACTTTATAACAATATCTTTTAAAAGAATCGACTCTTTTCTTAACATAATCAAAGATATAACTATTTGAAAATATTGCTTGAGATTGAACTATTTTTAACAACATAGGTAAAGTTTGTTTTTACTTCTCTTAAATTTCTCAGAGTTCCAAATGAAACGATTATGTCCTCATTTATTGACTGATGAGAACGAGATGAAGGCAAACTCTATAACTTTTCGTAGGAGAAAAGTATTTTCTTAACAAATATATATTTCATTTTTTGAACGTCTACATAGTTGAATAAAATCTACTAGAAAATAAAACAAAGTTGATTGGCTCAAATGGAAAGTTAAACAAAAAATATTTTCATCTTAGATAATAGACTGTAAGATGCAAAGGAAACAAATATCTTTGCTTGTAAGATCGAGTCTTATCTATTCAATGTTCGAGTTTTTTTTAGCTGGGGTGTGGATGTGGGTGTGGGTGTAGGTGGGTGTGGGTGTGGGTGGGTGTGGGTATGGGTGTGAGTATGGCGGTAGGTGAACAAGGGATAACCACACCCACACACCCGCACCCACACCCCCACCCTCACACCCACACACCCGCACCCACACCCCCACACCCACACCCTCACACCCACACACCCGCACCCACACCCCCACACCCACACACCCGCACCCACACACCCGCACCCACACCCTCACACCCACACCCCACCCACACCCACCCACACCCACCCACACCCACCCACACCCACACCCACACCCACACCCACACCCACACCCACCCACACCCATATCTAGAATTGATGAATAAACTAGCGACGTTTAATGAAAAGATTGAAATGACGAGTGTTTTAGAAATAAAGAAACATATATCAAAGTTAAAACCAAAAAAAATCATCTAGCTTCGATGCAATATTCAACTTTATGATCAAACGAATTCCACCGAGTTATATTAGTTATTTAGTCAATTACTTTCATACTTGGTTAAGTGAATATAGATATCCAGATGTTTGGAATTTAGCTAAAATAATTACATTGAATAAATTAAAAGCAGGAGTACCTCGTTGTGATCAGACACGGTCAATTTCACTTTTAGCAACACATTTAAAACTATTTGAAAAAATTATACTAGAGAGAGTGAGACACTGAGCAGAAACAAATAATATAGTTCCAGTTGAACAGTGAGGCTTTCGTACAGGTTGTTTACTTCCTACTAGAGTCCTATATATATATGAAGAGGTAAAAAATAATATGACGGCGAATATTCCAACATTAGCAGCATATGTTGATTATCAAAAAGCATATGATAAAGTACAGCATAAAGATCTTGTTCTTAAGTTCAATAGATTTGGTATACTTTTAGGACTATTGAAATTAATTATCTCATGATTAAAGGATCGTCGTGCGTATGTTATATTTGGAGAGAGTAAATCCAAGGTATTTTGCACACATATTGGTTTGTCTCAAGGCAGTAGTTTTGAGCCCATATTTGTTTATTGTCTATCATTGTGATCTTGTTGCATGTGTCAGTGCTCATTCTAGCCATATATTTGCTAATGATCTCAATGTACTTATATCTTCACCAATATGTCGGGGAGTTATGCCGATGATTAACTTTTTAGAAGAAGAAGGAATAAAAATATGTAACAAAATAGCGGATTATTCTAAGAAATGGAAACAACCAGTTAATCTATCTAAAACAGTTGTGCAAGTTTTCCATTCGCAAGTACAAAATCCAATAGTCAATGTCTATATGGAGGGTCAAAAACTGGAAACAGTTAAAGAATTTAAATATTTAGGTTTTATTTGGATAAATAGGATGTCGTTAAAACCAACAGTTGATAAAACTCTCGAAAATATTCAAAAAACGTTTAGTAGATTAAGATGAATGAAAGGTGGCAAACACCTATCAAAAGATGTCTTGCGAAGATGTTTTTTTTTGCCTACAGTTTTCCATATTTTGCCTGGATATTCCCCCTATATCCATTCTTACCTAAAACACAAAAAGAATTACTTCTAAGAAAATTTAGAAACCGATTAAGACTGGTTCATTAGTGTCCCTTTGCTAGAGCAACAGACCTTCTTCAAATAGCGAATGAAAAGCGCCTAGAAGAATATGTCAAAAGATACATAAAGAAAAGATTAGAACGAATGAACAAATCAGATTTAAGTCGCTCCCTTTTCTACAATGATATTTTTTACTGGGATGCATTTTGTAAGAGTAAAAATGATCAGCTAGACCATTTTTTTCCAATGAAACGAGTCAGACCCATGCGTGAAAGGCATCAATGCCTGCTTCTTCAATGGCTTGAATTTTTGTCTATGTAATATCTGCCATGTTATTGTTAGTTAATGTTCTTTCTCTTTCTTCTTCTTTTCTATTACTTTTTTTCTCCCTTCCCTCTTTTTTATCACATGTTATACACAAATATGGTATCGTATAAATGTGGTGTGCTTTTTTCTGTATGTTTATATTGCTCATAATTGTATTAATCAAACTGCTGTGAACGCTTACGGTATTCCTTGTAGGCACTCCCGAGTGTTACAATAAAGAGAGCGAAATCAAAGAAAAAATAGGTATGTTAAAAATTATTCAAAAAAAAAATTAAATAGTTATTATGACGAATTCATTGGTCATACATTCACAGCTGTGAGCACTCACATTCTGTATTGTCATTATCTCCTTTGTGTTCTTCTTTTTCTCTCTCTCTTTTGCGTGCACATATAAACACGTCTTTGTTCGAGTATTATCGATCAGCCACTCTTAGCTCATTCTTTAATTGCTCTTTTCACTCTCCCCTACTCTTTAATGTTGTGTTTCTTCCATCAATATATGAAAGAATAAACTACAAACAACCCTTATAAATATTCAGTATTATAGAGCGAAATTTGATTCTTCTTTTAAGATATTATTTAATTTAATGCAATTAAATCTTTTACAAAAAAAAATATACTAATGCCAGATTTTTGTAAAGTACTAACGACCATTTTTTGAATAACTTTTCAACGGTTCAAGCTATAGAGGTCGAGTTTTTCACCGTTAGAAAGAGCAAGGCGGGGGACGTCGATCTGTACAAAATTCATTAGGTTCAAGCCTCTTTTCTATAACTGTTTGCAGTTAGATATCTTCTTTTTTGTCTATTTTCACGAGTTTTCGTGACAAGTTAACATCAAATTAGACCAAAATGAAGCCCAAATCTCCCTGTATTTGTGCTAAAATTTTCATATTTTAACATCAAAGCGTAAGGAAAAAAACGAGAAGAAAACGCAAAGATTTGAAAATTTTAGCACAAATACAGGGAGATTTGGACTATATTTTAGTCTAATTTGATATTAACTTGTCACGAAAATTCATGAAAATAGACAACAAAAAAGATATCTGACTGCAAACAGCTATAGAAAAGAGGCTTGAAGTTAATCAATTTTATACAGATCGACGTCCCCCCACTCCCCCCTTGCTATTTCTAACGGTGAAATCCCGACCGCTATAGCTTGAACCGTTGAAAAGTTATTCAAAAATAGTCGTTAGTACTTTTAAAAAATCCGGCATTAGATAATATAATATTTTGTATTAGAACTCTCTCAGTGTACTCTCAATGCTACTTTCATGTCAATTGAAAAGTGATCCAGAGAAAGCTAAGATTCTGAATTTCTACGTCCTTTAACGTGCTCTTTCATCATTGAATTTCATTAGAGAAATTATACGATGAATCATCCATATCTAGTGGCTAGTAGTCGAATTATTTTATTCGATAAAACAAAGGCTGGTGTCACGATGCCCTGAATTCTTCTTTTTTCTCCTCTCTTTTTCTTTCATATGAACCAATAAAATAATCCTATGTATGTGTTCGTCAGTATGTTATTCAATCAATTATATATGAAACATTTCATCCTTGATGATAACTACCGATGCTTCTACACGACATGCACATGTCGTGTAGAAGCACCCGTATATCTTTGTTTTTCAGAAATGACCGAAAAAGGCTCATGTACTGATATAACATGTGATGACGAAATTAAAGAATTATATCATTGTCATTGTTGTTTACGTCTTGTTTGTTTAACTCATTTGATTAGACATGTTGAAATAACAAAACAAAACAAACAACGATTAGATAGTCTTCGTAATGAATTAAATACAGTTATAAATACACTTAAATTAATTGTTGAAGAAAAACTAATTACTATTAAACGTGAACAAAACTTGATTGAACAAGCAAATAAATTTCTTGATGCACCCAATAGTTCAATTGATGAACTACAAAATATTTTCGAACAAATTAATCAAACAATAGTATCAAATCGTTCAGGTAAAAACTAAATTAGATAATCGCTGTTTTTTTTTGTTTATTGCTTTTCTTTTGTTTTTGTTATAGAAGAAATGATATTGAAAGTCGAACCTTCATTATCAGAAACTAAATATTGTTCTTGTGTTTACAAATGTAATATGGAACACATGAATTCAAATGGTAAAATAATATTTTTCTCTTAGTGAATTTAAATTGAATTGTAATAGATTAATCACCACTGAGAAATACTTCTTCATAAGTAAAATATTTTTTGTTTTGTCCATTCCATATTTGTTTCGATCGAACTATAGATACCGATACCTAACGAGGGATCTAGTTGAACTGAATCGTCATTTGAACTCATATTGACATCAAAAAAAAAATTTCTTAGTAAAAGTAGAAAATCTTAAAAGTGTTGTAGTTAATGAGCCCAGTTATAACTTTTATCGAATTTTCGACCTGCAAGTGTCCATAGACATGAAAATCTGATAAGTCTTGAAATAGTCTGAAAGTTTCAGTTCAAACAAAAACTTTCATTTATCGAGATATTGCATTTCTAAGTAAATATGATTTTGACCATATTTCTATGGCCAATGCCTATTTATTGCAAATTTAATATCTTGATGAATGAACTTTTTCTTTTCGGAATTCCGTTACTTTATTTTTGAAGAAATACTGAAAGATGGATTGAAAATTCACTGAATCGGCTCATGGACGCAATTCCTTTCAAGCCTTTTCTACTCTTAGCGGGTTTTTGTCGTTGGCCTAATGTAAGTTCAATTGGTGGAGATCAATTCATGTAGTTCCCTCGTAAGATCAAAAACAGAAAGTCTTCAAAATATATGTTTTTTGTATGTTTTAAATGTAGCAGAAGAATTGGAAATCTCCAAAGGTAAGTTAAATTTTCTTTAACTTTAAAAAGAAAAACAAGCATGATTGATTTAAGATAATAGATGTTCAACGTATATCAATCATGATTTTATGGATACGAATTCATCTGAGTAAGTTTCTTTTTCTTTTTTATTAGAAAAGATCCGAAACCGATTTCATATTTTTCTTTCTTTTAGTGAAACAACAAAATCTGTTAAGGTAAAAATAATTAGATTCATGGAAGAGTTGATAAAGTCAGTTTTTGAATTGAAATATATCACGTATTAGCTTGCCCTATCTAATTATTCATTAGACATAGCAGTATAACTTAGAACTCGACATCTCTTGCTCTAATTTGTTCAAAAGTGAATCGAATAGATTCATATTTGTTGTTATCGAACATTGTTCAAAAGAAACAATAATAAACGTATTCTTAATAGCGTCACTATATAAATATGAAATCAAGTCTCGAAAAGATCGGAGTCGACGGATCGAATTTCGGTGTGGTTCAACAGTTTTTCTTCTGTGTAATCACAGAAAAAAGAGATTTTCTGCATATTGTGGTAGTTGTATTCGTTTCTCTTTGCAGCTTTGTGCTCGGGATAAACGTGTATATATTCTATTACATGGTATCTATTCAGATTTGTGTCTAAAGATAGTTCGAAATACTAAGCTTGTTGGCATTTGAAGAGGTCTAATTCAAAAATTTTCTGTTTGCTTAAATTAGGAATCATGAAATTGATGTTTCTCGGCTACAGAAACTGGCGTCTATTCCCCACAGTGTTTTTTCGTTTGCCTATTTTTTGATTGAGGATCATATGAAGATATGAAATCAGTGAACCAGATCTTGAACATTTTTGATATTAGTGAGAAACTTAATACTTTAGAAAAGAGCCATTTTCATAGGAAATATCATAAAAATGGGTAATATTTCGAGACTTTGACTATAGAAAGTCGATTTGTATGAAAAATAAGCGCGATATTCGGAATCAACATGCAAAAATGTATCAGAAACTATTTTTCATCATAAAATTTTTCCATCGAAATTTTACCTCTACTTCCCCTCAACCACCTATTCCTAAAACTTTAACCTCTATCCCTACGGGTCAAAATTTCGATGGAAAAATTTCACGACGAAAAATAGTTTCTGATACATTTTTGCATATTGATTCCGAATATCACGCTTATTTTTCATACAAATCGATTTTCAATAGTCAAAGTCTCGAAATATTACCCATTTTTATGATATTTCCTATGAAAATGGCTCTTTTCTAAAGTATTAAGTTTCTCACTAATATCAAAAATGTTCAAGATCTGGTTCACTGATTTCATATCTTCATATGATCCTCAATCAAAAAATAGGCAAACGAAAAAAAAACTGTGTGTAGAGGGAGTACAGTATAGCTCATAGAAAAAGCGCCGCTTCCTTTTGTTCTAAATCTAGTGACAAGAAATGGTCTAATTAGAAAAATACCAGCAGTGTATAAAATAAAAACGGTACGTTCAATACAGATTATGTAGAAAAGCAAACTTCTGAATTAATGAAATTCTAAAAGAACAGTTTACTGTTCGTATTTACCTTTATCGAATGTGTAAAACATTCGTATCTCACAGATTTGCTCTTCAAGGTAATTAAGCAGAATACGAATTTTCTATTTAAATATTGTCGTCTCGTAGCGAAGTTCTATTTTTAATGCAAAACACCTCGTTTTCAATCAAATACTATATGAATTCAGTTTCCATGAATATTATACTTCATCCTTCATGATATTGTTATGCTTCTCTGTATTCAAGTCAACATCATAAGATAACTATTATAAACTCAGTTTGTTGTCCTTTGTATACGTCTAAATTAATTTTATTTTCTATGAAATGAATCCTGCATGGTATTTAAACATTCATTATGTTTTTTTTTTCAGGATCAACATGTAAATGAAGAACAAAAGAAACTTGAACGAACATTATGGAGAAAGATTTTTGACGAGTGTCCATTAACATTTGATGGAGCATATGGTCTTACTCAAGCAAATCATTCTATTGAATTCTGTGATTATGAAAAAAATTATCGAATCGGATTATATCAACATTTCATTAATAAGCATAAATTAAAAGAAGTTTATGCTCAACGTTTGATACGAGCTGTTGCCGATAATCAAGATCCTAGGATAACAAAATTATTTAATGAAAGTGAAGATGTAATTGATCATTTTTATAAAGTTTTATGTCCTTTTTTTAAAGGACGAATTAATTCACCAGAATACCGTCAAAAAAATATAGCAAATATACCATGTTCACGTCGTATAATTCTATTTAATGCATTAAATCATCATTTACGATTTCATCATAAGATTTCTAAGACGTTGGCAAAAAAATTAGTTGATCATTTCAAAGAAATTCGAGCAAAAAATGATATTGCTTCGACTCCAATAATTCCATCAACATGATCAGAAGAACAGAAAGTCTTAAAATTGTTTTCATTGATGGTTGTCTTATTTTGTTTTCGGTTTTTAAAAATAAAGTATTCAATAATTTGTAATAGATGTTTGAATAATTCTTTGTTATTAATGTTTGATTAGATTTTTCTGGTTCAAGATAATGAGTCGATAAGAAAAAAAAGTAACGAGAAAATATATGCAATTTGTTGGAGACTGCTTGTTCTCATGCTATGGCTACGAGTAGGTCTCAATGAGACTAAGTTAAACTTTTAAAGGATTATATTCCATGACCTACTGATAAACAATCATGACTATTTTAATGAAATTGTTCCTAAGAGAAACATATTTCCGAAAAATTCAAAATCAATAGTTTCGATCTGAATTTTTGCCTATAAGCAAGTCTGATAGACCTGAAATTTTCCAAGAAAAAGAACAAGTCTTTCTTAATGAATTGGATTTCTAAGTCGATTCGATTGGGTGTGGGTATGGGTGGGTATCAAATGTGGATGTGGGTGCGAGGTATGATGTCTTCTTCACCCACACCCACACCCTCATAGTCTGCCATGGGCAGGCCAACGATAAGTACGCTTGTTTGAACCTCTACAATGAAGATGACCTTTTCATTCATCAATAAAAATTGGGCCAGTCAATTGATTGCAGAAACAACAAAATATTACTACTATTACTGTCGTATTTTTCGTATAACCCTCAAGTTCAACAAAGAGGAAAGCTATTAGCGCAATCTCTGTGACATTAAAATGTGAAACACGATCTAGATATTGTTTCCTATGCCTAGAAAACTGATCCTGTTTTTATGTATATTCGGGCGTATTCCCTCATCATTGTTTACTATAGGGTATTGAACTTCAACAAACGAATACTTCATATTAATTCGAATGATAATATGCTAGTTAAAGATGATCTTCGATAGCTTCCTGAAGCTGTCTATAATGGATAACTCATTAATTAGGCAGGGATTAGTTAATTAATTCACATGTCTGTCGAGGTTCGTGGAGAGAAGGGTGCCATTTTCTGCTCCTATACACTTCAACACTTCTTTCAGATCATGTTTCACAAAATGTATAGCCGATTCTATTTTTCTTTCATTTCGTTCTCTTGCTGCAACCAATTGATTTGTATGATTTTGCTGGAGAATACATCCTATTCCGCGAAGATGCACATTGCGGAATCGATTCCGCCCCCGGAATCAGTTCCATCCGGTTCCGGAATTCTAAATCGTCCAACTAACCCGCCTTATTCGAAAACGATCGAGTTCCTTCGAATTCCTGAATTGCATCCGATTCCCGAATTGGATGCCATTTCGAAAGGGAATTCCGGGAATCAGATGGAATCGGAATCAGACGGAATTACTACTGATTCGGGGTGTGGGTGTGGGTGGGTGTGGGTGGGTGTGGGGTGTGGGGTGTGTGTGTGGGTGGGTGTGGGTGTGGGGTGTGGGGTGTGGGTGGGCGAGTGTGGGTGTGCGCGTGATTAAATCGATTCCACACCCACACCCACTCACCCACACACGCCACCCACAACCACCCACACCCCACACCCACACCCCACCCACACCCACACCCACATCCACCCACACCCACACACACCCACACCCATACCCACCCACACCCACACCCATACCCACACCCCACACCCACACCCACCCACACCCCCCACACCCACACCCCACACCCACCCACACACACCCACACCCACACCACACCCACACCCACACCCACACCCACCCACACCCACACCCACACTTGATATGTTTTCTCCTGTAAAAAGACTTGGACCAAAACTTGTTATGATTGGTGAAATGGTAAATAAAATATATTTAATTCAATTTTATTATTTCTATATTTATAAAAAAAAAAGGTTTATGATTTAAAATTTTACATGTTAATGTTAACTATATTCATATTAACATATGGTGTACCTACATATAGTTTACTCTATGGTGTTCAAAAATTTTCTTGGCATACTCCACGTGCTATTTTAAATTTAGCTTATTGGCAAATATTTGGTGAATTAGAAGTTCTAGACGATATTGAAAGTGACTCACACATTAGACTTTCTATTCAAAATTTGATCTTAACTTTTTTGTTTTTCAGAAAACTATGAAATAACTGGTTATGTTGTATTTATATTATTAATTGCTTATATGACAGTAGCAAGTGTTCTTTTAATTAATCTTCTTATCGCTATGTTTAGGTATTACTTTTATCTTTATTTCATATTTTGAAATATTATATTATTTATTTTTTTTTAAAGTAATACATTTGATCGTTTACAATTAGATACAGATTGTATATGGAAATTTCAACATTATTCATATGTATGTTATCATTTAACTCTTCCATCACTTCCTCCACCATTAATTATATTTTCACATATTTATCGTGTAATAATCTATATTTTTTCACATAAATTTAAAATCGAATGGTTTTATCAAAAATATATTCAACATACGAATCGATCGAAATTTAGTAAATTTTAATAAAAATAAAAATGTTTTAATTGACTTTTGTTTTTTTGTAGAAATAATTGCTGATGAAATGTTAACGAAAACAATTGAATCTATTGAAGATGCTTGAGGAAATGAAGTTTATTTTTTTTCATTAAAAACTGATCGAAAAGAAATTAATCAATCAACTGATTTAAATGAAGAACGAGTGTATGTATTGATTTATTTAATAAAAAAAAAAAAGAAAAGAAAATTTTCTTTAGACATTCTCCGCAAGAAATTCTTATAAATAAAATTAAAACACTTGAAAATCAAGTTCAAATAATACAAAATCAAGTAGAATCTATTTCAGATCATATAAGTCATTATTTTCTGTTGTTTTTCTAGCAAAGTAATATGTTTGAATATTTGAAATATTTAATGAATGGAATCAAAAAAATTGGTGGTGATGATATTGAAATGCCCAAAGTATTACATCAAAATTCTGAATTACTTTGTATGTTATGTATATTTATCCTCGCATTAGACAAAAAAAGAAAAATTATAGATCACTAGTTTCATTTTAATTCAAAAATCATTAGAGTATAACACTACGATGAATTTCTATAGAAGAATAGGAATATTCAAACTTTGTCTTACAAGTGACATCGATTCGAATTGAAAGCATATTGAAATCAAGAATTCTAGCCACTTGTGTCTTGTTGAAGTCTATTTTAGTTAAAAGCTCCAATTTGTACTACTCGCGAGAAGAATGTTCATTAAATGAACTCATCGAATCGATCTATTTCGGACAGTAGTTTCCATTTTGAAGCTGTTCATATTATTCGTAGAGACTACATATCAATTACTATTTATGATTCTTTAATAAAGATAAATATTCGACTGACGTTCCATAGAAATAGGAAAATAAGTTGATATAATTTTGTTTCTCACTAGTTTTTCTATAATATTTTAGAGATTCATATTAAATGATAATAGAATTAAGAATTATTCAAGCAAACAAAACAAAATTTTTTTTTATAATAAAATAATAAAAAATAAATGTTTAAAATAAAATTTCATTACTGAATATTTTCTATACATAATGCCAATCAAATAGCAATAGAATTTTGATCATATTCAAAATTTTATATTTAAATTTTGTGAATAATAATAAATTTAAAAAATATTCTTGTTTTTATAAAATATGTAAAAGATCTGTTTTATTTGAAAACTAGTACAAGATTGAAATATACCAATCAAAACCTATTTGAATGATTTGTTTTGGTCCAAGAATAAATCTCCACCATCGATAAGGTTGCATCACTAAATGAGCAAGACAATGATTTCGTGCTTCAGCATAGTTTGAACTAACGAAATTATTTACTATGATAGTACCAGAAGGTGTCAATGGAGTACTAAACCTTTGAGATATGAGGGTGTGGGTGTGGGTTCCACACCCACACCCTGTTATCATCTGATCTTTCGGTACAGATTCTGTCTCGAAATACCAATAACTGATGTATGCAAAAACTACCGAAACTTCTTTATGAAATTCTCTCAAGATACTATTAAGATCTAGTATATTCTCTATTCACTACTTTATGGGAACTCCAAACCAAACTTTTATCATTAGACCATAGACGAGACACATCTGTCTTCAAAAACACTATTTTGATGCTTCGATCTTTTCAATTTTCACATATTTAGCAGAAGAGATGATTTTCAGAAATTTACTTTAATCGATTGTACTTTCACAATCGATCCAATAGGTCAAAGGATTGAAATCAGACCAAAATTGTGTCATTTTCATCATTTTCTAATGGAGTAATGATCGACTTTAATCTGATTCTTCCTTAGAATTTTTTTATATGGGAACTAGAAGTGAACATAGGACAAGATCTTCTGTCCTGTATATGACTAATTCGTATTTTTAGGTTTCACTTCTTTTGTTAAAAGATGACACTATAAAATAGTTACCAAGTCAATATATCGTCAATAAGAATACATTTTCGTCTTTTTGAAAAGATTTTAATGAGTTTTTCGTTATGATCCATAAAAGGTAATTCTGATTCTAATCGACAAAATTTCTTCGAAATATTCTAATTGATGATTTGTATAATATCATATTTATTAATTCAATGGATGAGATATAACATCTAACTATTCATTTCATTTCAGAAAATTCTATTAGTCTATTTCTATAGATGATGTGGACTGACGACGAAGATTCCGATGAAGATCAACAACAGAATACATATCGAAACAATGATCAAATAACAGAAGGATATTCAAATAAAGGAAAAAAAAAGACAAATATCAGTGTCGTCGAAGATGTTCAAAACGTTCTTGTTGTTGTTTTAAATTGGGTAGTGGATGTAGCACATCTTGTCAAAATATGTTTAATTATCTGAATTATTTTTTTGGTGAAGATGGTGCATATAATGCAAATTCTTGTTTTACAAAATGGCTTATCAAACATGCTAAAAGTGATTGATCGGGAGAAATTACATCAATCTATCATGTAATCTCCAAGTTATCAAAAAGTACGTAAGGATGAAGAATTTGTTGATTGGATGAAACAATGGTGCAAAATTAGTGAATACGAAGAAATGGAGCATATTCAAAAAATTTTTCGAATGTTTCTATTAGATGATACATCAAATTATTATTATTTATTTTGTTATAATGATGTACGTCGAAAAGATCCTCATGGGTTTTGTAATAAATGTCAAAAATCGTTGTATTATAGAGAATGATATTTGATACAAATCTGTATAGTAATGATCGTTATTTGGATATAACAATTTTATGAATTTATTTTAGGTACTTATGGTGTTCACTTGTCATGTACAAAATATCGAAGAATAAGTACTTAACATATTGACGTAGTTTTGTTTAGAACATTACAGAAGATTTATTAGATGTGATGTTTTTTGTTTGTAATAATTATATTTCTTATGCTATGTTAATAATTCAATAAATGATTTGTATAATGATGATTATTAAAATGAATGATATTAGATAATCAATACACACTAAATTTAAATGTGTCGTGTTTATATGTCGTGATTTATTGTGTTGTGAGCTCCAGCATAAAAAAGTGTCGTGTCTTGAAAGTGTCGTATATGGATTTGTCGCGTTCTGTCTGTCGACTATTCATTCACCGTTCTATTATGCATACATAGCAATATATAAACAACGCGGTTGAACGCACGAAAGATAAATTTTCAAAATATTCTTCGTTTCTAGATTATTTCTCGATCATTTTTTAATCGCGAAAATGCCAATTTCGATCAATGCTTGAGAGAGGACTACCCTGAAATTGTCTGATGTAAATCGGACCGACTCGAGATCGACCAGATCTGAGAATATCACTCGTCTGAATTATTCAGGATACGGATAAATAAATGAAAATAAATTGAAAAAAAAATCGAAATATGCTTTTCCAAAAGAACTAATGAAAAATGTGTTGGATGTGTCGTGAAAATTGTATCGTGGTCTTGCTGACCAAAATGTGTCGCAACGAGCACCAGGTGTCGTGCTCTAATGTGTCGTGCATTGTGTTGTAAATCACGACACATTCGACACATTTTAACTTAGTGTGTATCATAAATTTTCGTTCGAATGAATTCTCATTTATATAGTTAAAGAAGCAATAGATGTGAGTTGATTACAGAGTCCTTACTTCCAGATCGATAACTATCTGTAAGATACATTAATAATGTTATTAAATACCAATTGTACAGATGAAGGTAGATATAACTGAAAACGGATTACAATAGATGTGAAAGATAGAGAACTCTGTAATTAACTTATATCATTACCCATCACCGATGTTGAAGTAAGCTGGAAACCATGCAGATTTTAAAAAATCTTTAGTACTTCAGCTGAATTTCAATTTAAAAAAAAACGTCTTTAATAAATTTTTATTCAAGAAAAATTATAAATATATCACCATTATACTTCTACCGAACAAAAGAATTCTTTGTTATTTTGAACATTTCAGCTAAGTTCTTCCTTTGATAGTGACACATTCAGGCTTACGGATCAGGAGGAGTGGAAGGTCCAGCTGCAACCAAAATTTCAAACACTTTCTGCAAAACCTCTTAAAATTCTGTGGTAAAAGTTTGCAAAAAACTGTTTTTTAAGGCCCCTCAAAAAATGTCCATTTTCGCTAGAATTTTCTTTTCGATGCTGTCTTTTTTTGCAAAATTTTTGATAAGTCTTGTCATGTACTACTTGAAAAATAGGTCTTTTTTGAAAAAACGAAAAATTTTTTCCATTTTTTTCTCCAAATGGTGGTCACACGACGCATCTTCAGCGAAAGTCAACTACAACACGATATAAAGTCGAAATTTCTTTTTTGTCTTTGTTTGAAAGAGCATGAAAAACACCCAATATATCCAAATAAGAGAAGAATTTTTTGTTAACAAGTTGTCAATTGAAAGTGCTGCGCATGTTAACATCTGTGTATATCTAGAATTCTGAGATTATATTTTACACGAGTTGTCTCTGATTAGTAGTTCATTTTTAAGGATAACGAGTTAGGATTTTCTTTTTTTTCACATAGATATATTTTTTTAACGAAAGACTTATAAAACTTAAAGAGAAAATTTCTTTTCAGTGAGTTCAACTATTTTAGAGAGTTGCTAAAGTCGAAATCGAGTGCAAGATGCTGTTCTTGTTCTTCCATCAATTGCTCCTTCCCTTCCACGCGATTGATACAAGAAATACTGAAGTAGATGGCACACGGTAAGGGGGGGGGCGGGTTTCGTCCTCTTCTTGTTGCATCAACCATGTATTTAAGAAAAAAACATCATTTTGGTCAATGTAGAAAGCAAATTGGCTCAAAAGTATGAATATAATTGTAGATAAAAAGTTTTTTTTCTATCCGAATCTCAGGAAAAATCACCTAGTTGAATGAAGAGAAATCCAAAAATAAAAGAGACAGACATGGACTTTTGCTCAAATTTATAGAAATGAATATTCATTAATGAATTGTTATTCTAGTTTTGTATATATCATAGTGATTCCGATCTTCAACTTGAACATATTAATGTTTATTACAATGAAACAACGAGTAAAAATATTTTATTAAAATAAAAGATATATTTAAAACACGTATTTTACTCTTAGAAATGGAATATATTCCTTGTGTTGTTCTTATCAATCTTGAACGAAAGACTATAGATTCAGTTCGTAGTGATCCGTTTGATCAACTATTTCGATCAAATAATTTCATTTATAGTAAATTAGAAAAAAAAACAATTATTTTTACTCGAATAATTTTTAAGAATTTTTGAAAAATTCGTAAAGAAACTCAATTATGTGGTTGCCTTCAAGGTTTTCAAATGTGTCATTCACTTGACAATAGAATTGAATCAGGTATGAGAATTTTACTCATATAAAACTTCGTACAGAATTTCCTGATTGTAAGTTTCACATAAACATTTTTATTATTTATTGTTAGGTATAATGATGAGATTCAATGTAATTCCATCATCAAAAGTCTCGGAAATTGTTGTTGAACCAACTATTTTTCATGATCGAATATCAATGAAAGAAGTTGATCAACACATGTTAAATATTTAAAATAAAAATTCATCCTATTTTGTTGATTGAATTTCAAATAATATAACAACAACTGTTTGTCATATTTCACCTTGTTGATTTAAAATATCAGCTATTTTTATTGGTATAAAAATTAAATTCTATAACATATGAAAATTATTTCGATATATTTATAGGAAATAATACAGCAATTCAAGATTCATTTAAACGTATTTCGAAACAATTAGCTTTTGTGCATCCGTATATTCGTGAAGGAATGGATGAAATAATTTGTTCAATTTGATAAAGAATATTTTATGTTGGATTTTGTATTATAGAAATTTATTGAAGCTGAATTCAATATGTTTGGCACAGTTCGTAAATATCAACAATATCAAAATTCAACAATTGAAAGTTAGATTTGAGTTTTCTAATTAATACCAACATTTTATTTATAGAACAATTCGAAGAAGAATTTCATTAAACTATAACAGTGAAAAAATATTAATTTTACTACAACTTACTCATTAAACAAGATCCTTTTTATTCTTAATTAAAAAATAAATTTTTTCAGCAAAAAATTCTGTTTTTTTTTTGTATGAAATATAATGATTACGTTTCATCATAAAATTTGAATTGTAGCACTAGAATTGATTCTACAAGTACTTTTAAGGGCATGTCTGTGATCGCCTTCATCAAAACAAGTCAAGTAGTTTTTTCAACATCAAGCTGAAATAATTCATCTGAATAGCAGAAGATAAAAGTGAACATATGATTGAAGGAATCATCATTGCAATAAGAATCAGAAAAATAATTGCGGTAATAACAAGTTCCATTTTGTTCTAGTCTCAATTTGTAAATAATAAAAATATTTTACCACAGCTGATCTTTATCATTTTCTTTAATCTTTAAGCTTCGATAGAATTCAAATAGATGATTATTAAACTAATCCATTGACTCTGGACTATCAATACAATTCAAATTGAAATTAATTTTATCACTTTTTCACATTTAGACTGTGTTTTATTTTATCATGCACATATTTGCTACCACTCTCTATGATGATTACTCATTTCTTTTTTTTAGCTTTTGTCTTTCTTTTTTACATCATCGTATTCGACAAACGTCTTTTTCACTTCATGGTGACGTATGTATATTAGAGATGACGTTCATATATATTTAAATACGATTGACAGATCGTTAAATAATAAATATTTTTCAATACAGTTCTAGTGTCTACCATTGATATTACATGGGAAACAGAAACAGCAACAAAAACGAATCATCTCGTAAGTAATAAATCTTTTTTAAATAAATATATGAAAATGAAATTATTTAGCTTATGCTGAAGTTGAAATAGCTGAAAGAAATGCGAGCAACAACTGTTCTGATTCAAGAGGAAAGCGAATGGCGCGCGGAACATTCATGGCAATCAATCCAGCAGGAGCAATCCGATCGTCTAAGAATTCCAATCAGAGCAACACAAGCCGTTCAACGATTGACGATACATGTTAATACAATAATGACTTATTCATTGTACATATAAATATTTATTTTTATACATTGTAAAACATACAAAAAACTATGAAACAGATTTCTTTTTTGAGTCTCAATATTTGAAACAATGTTATGAATTAAAGAATGTTCTTTGGTATCAACTTAAAAGTTGATAGATTCTTTTGTGATTTCAATTGATTGTTATTTATTTTCATTATTCAAATATGGATAGATACGAATAAAAAAGTGTAAATAACTAATTATTCGAATACATCCACAAAAGAAACTAATCGATTTCCAAAAATTTTCTGTATGATAACGATAGATCCAATTGAGAATATAAAATGCTCATTAAGATCCTGACATAATCAAATAATATGTCATTGCTTTGTCAATAGTTTCTTGTTTATAGATTAAACTCAATTAAGGAGACTTCCCCCCCCCCCCTTTCCGGGGCTTCTCGAGAACGGCTCATCCGAAAGCTTCTTTCTAGGAGATATTGGATTTGCAATGGCTAAAAAATCGATTCCCAAATCGCCTCCGTTTCTCAGACACAGTAAACCCGATTGAGCTGAAATTTTTTCTACAAATAGTAGAGACACTTTAGAGTGCCTACTTTTTTTGGTTTCTTTCTATCTCGTACTGTTCGAATAAAAAAGCCAAAATACAAAGAGCACCCTAAAAAACCGATATTTTTTTGAATAGTGCTTGTCTTGTAAGATCTGCCAAAACTCAACGATACAATATTTTTCAAAACAAAAAAAAAAAAGTAGGTCCACTAAACTGTTTCTACTATCTGTAGAAAAAATTTCAGCTCGATCGGATTTACTGTGTCTGAGAAACGGGGACGATTCTGTAGATTTTTGCTGAAAAACCTAGTTTCTAGAAAACCGCGACATTAAATAATTGAAAATTGCCAAAAGAATTTCTTATCCATTTCTATATGATTATCGAGAAAATTGGTAATCCAACTTAGACTATGAGTATAGATTGAAAAAGTATCATGAGATTTATCAGGATTCTTTCGAAATAAATCATAAATAAGAATGACAATAAAATAATTATTTGATAAAAGATAATAAATTTTAAAGATTGTATTATAGATTGAGAGAATTTGAGATGAATAAACATAGAAAGAAAACAGATCCAAATAACGACATGAAAATATCACTGCATAGAGTATCAATGTAATCAGTGCTGAATAATACTTTATAATAACAAAACACTGCAAGTCATTTTTGTCGTTCTGTGTGATATGATGTTATGCGAAAGAAAGTGAATCTTTTTTCGCATGGAGAAACGACAAAATTCCTCGCAGTGACACGATAAATGAGTATGTCATTGCTATTTCTACCATCTCTAGTTAATCGTTCATTCTTCTATTTATTAAAAAGTTCTCGATTATATACAAAAAGAAAAAGATAAAATACATTTTAAGCAACTAAATTTTCACCACCATAAATATAAATCACGATCAAAATATTTAATACAATAATCATTAACTAAGTTTTCCGATTTAATTAATATATTTATTTCTTTCAAACATCTTCTTGGTACTTGTGACATACATAAAAATGTTAAAGGACCTGTTTGAATATTATTATTTGATAATATAAATCGAGCAATTTCATTAGTTTCTTTTTTCTTCATACCAATTTTCATAGATTCTAATTTTGGAAATAATTTCATAATTAATTGAATTCTTTCTAATGAACAATCATCATGAAGATCTAAGTTTTTTATTTTATTTGTCTTTGATATATATTGAAATATTTGACTTTGTTCAATAATATTTGTTTTGATTTTTTTAAAAAAAATTAAATAAAATTTTAATGTATGTAAATTAGGTGTAAATCGTATTAAATTGATTATTTGTTCCAATGGAAAACTGAATGATTCGATAACTATTTTTGTGAGATTTTTTACAGGGATAATACGATTGAGAATTATTGGAAATAAATCATCAAGTGTTTCAAAATTATTTGTAATGGTTAACTGAGTAGTATTTGGAAAATAATTTCCTTGATTATTTGTTACTCGTTTACTATCAATAAGAACATGTTTAACTGTTTTAAAATTTGTTTTTGGAAGATATGGGCAAGGTTGTCGATCTGATTGCCAATAAAATTTATAATCTTTACTTCTAGAGAAACAAAATATAGAAATAATATTTAGGGCGTTCGAAAAGTTCTGATCACAGTAGTTAAAGAGCTTTGTCAGATAAGGTGACATATTCAGAAATAAATGTTGTAGAGCTTTTTAAGCCGCGTCGAATGGTATCTAGTAAATTTTGTTTTCATAAAACTTTGAAGGAACTAGAATCAGTTTATTGATAGACTACTACCCACCCACACTCACACTCACCTATGCCTACACCTATAAGACGACTGAAGATGCTCTAATTTCCTTCAAAGTCTTATGAAAACAGAATTTATTATATACCATTCGACGTGCCTCAAAAAGTTCTACAACATGGTATATTATTTATTACTTCTGATGATGTCATCTTATCCAATAAAGTCCTTTAAATACCGTGTCCAGAACTTTTCGAACACCTTAAGTATACTTAGGTCTTACCAAAAGTTCTGAGAACATTAAATAAAAATATAAAGATAAGGAGATATTTTTAATTTAATTTTATCAAATATTGAGGATAGTTGTCATGAGTATTAATACCAAGTTTGATCCTTTCCTAAGAATTTGTTAAAAATTTTTAGGTACCTTGGAAACTGCATGAACTAATCATATTCCGTTTATTTGATCAGTTGAACTACGTTCGATAGAATTAGTTAGCCAAAAATGACATAGTACCAGATCCGACGCATATGGTGGATGTAATATTATATTGATGTCTTCGTCTGTTATATAATTAATAATATTAGATGAGTATGAGGGCAATGCTGATCGTCAAGCAATTTTGTACATTTTGAAACTGATGTCTCTGTTTATTTCCATATTTCATTACGAGAATTTTCAATATAATATTTGTGACTTACAGTCTTGTCTATATCTACACTCAGGAGTATTTCATTTAAAGAATATACTAAACAAAGTTTTGTTTAAAATCTGTCTTCATCAACAATAATCTTTGAAGATTCATCTTCAATAAGCCAGCTAGTATCAGATGACCTGACAAGCGAAGATGAGATATGAGAGAAGACAAATCAATAAAACTCTGCTGAGGAATACACGTATGGACTAGACATGGCAAACACACACACACACAAGTCTTCAATAGTCTCTATCGACTTGTCCCAATTCCTTTATGTCGAAGAATCGATCTCGATATCTACTCGACTGTCCCAGAACACTGGAGACAAGCAGCTATATAGAGAAAAGAAAACTCCGCGCTGCTTACTATGACTAACCTATGTAAAATAAATATATATCCCATCCCTAATAGTAGTAGAACGTAACTGACATGATCGAATTTAGTATAAATAATCATGACAACTATCTTCAAATAAAATTAAAAATATCTCCTTATTTTTTTCAGAACTTTTGTTTAGACCTAAATAAAAACAAATCGAATATATAATTACCGATATGGATTTGTTGAATAGAGTATTCCTTTATTTAAATTTTCTTGCCAATCATGTTGATGTGTAAAAAACCATTGTTTTGAAATCCAAAATGAAGAATTAAATTGATTAACTAATTCATGAAATGTTTCTTGATTCGGTAATCCACATCCATAATAATTAACATCATAAACACGTAGATTTGGCATATAAATTGATATTAATTGTTCCCAACTTTTAGCATTTAAACATTCGAAACTATATCTTTTGGTTGTAAGTTGTAAAACGTTAACATAATAAAAGAATTTTTTAAATGAATCTTCGATATGATTAAGATCAATAAAATCAAGTTTAAGTGAAACAAATTTTAAATATTCTAATGCAATTGGTTTTTCTTTGTTTATCTTGTTTGCAGTACGATACGAACTACGAAGACAATCAATTTTTAAATAACGAAGTTTTGGAAAACAAAATAATAAATTATTAAATGATTCAACATGGAAATAAGTATTTATCACAAGATATTCAATAGAACTATGACCATAATCAGTAAAATAAATTGGATGTGGTTCATATTCATTTGTTTCTTTATATGTAATTTTGAAATATTTTAAATTAGATAAAGAAAATATTATACCAAAAGGAATATTTTCATATTCGAGCTTTTCAGTGAAACTAAGAATTAATGAATGTAATTTAGGTAAATGTGTTAAATAAGTAGAAATATTCTTAAAGGATTTATAAATGATATTATCAAGAATCAACGATTCAATTTGAGAAAATTGTGTTATTAAACGTGATGGTGAAAAAACAATATCAGTAGTAAATGGATTTGATAATCGAAGATAATTTATTCGATGTCTATTTGGTATAATAATATTTTTGTAATAACGTTGAAAATTTGCTTTTGAAATTGTTGAAATATTGACTTGAATTGGAAGATTTGAATTATTCAATAATTTTTTAAATCGTTTATTAAGATCGAAGAATCCATCATAAATATGAAAAATATCAAGATAATCAAATATTTCGTAGATTATTTCATTAGCTAAATCTTCCAAAACGGATCTAGATGAAATAAAAAATATAAGAATAAGATTATAAAAAATAGATTTCAACTAACTTAGTTGTATTAATATATTGATGATATAATTTTTGTTTTTTATTTGCATGATAATATTCAATGATTTCATTTTGTTGCCGTTTCATTCGTTCTAACATGATGATATTTATCGAAAGAAAATTCTTTTCGATCACTATTACTACTAAAGAAAATAAATATACACGTGGAATCATCTTCTATTCTTCGTTATACATATATGTCGACATATACATAAGTCAACAAAAGAATAACTTCTTATTGTTCTTGTAGAACAAAGAAAAAATATTTTATTGTAATAAATTAGTAGAATATTTTCTAAAGAAAATTATTTCCAAATTTATTATTAAATTTTTGGAAGATATTCATAATTTTTATGTCAATAACACATAAGTATATAGGGATAAAGATACGATATTATTTAAAACTACCACTTGTCCAGCTTACTGGTATTGTTATAAAAAAAAAGGATTTCAAAGAGCGTCTACTCGCATCGAATCGTTAGTGTGCATAACTATCAAACTGTTTTTACTACTGTAACTAGAATATAACTTAGTGTTATTTGTAAGAGGGTGTGCTGACTGTTCGAAAGGAAAAAGACCGAAGAGTAAAATCTCGTAAGTTAAAATATCGATAATTGCAAGGAAGAAAAAGCTGAGACTTCAACCATTTTCAGACTCCATAAAATCAATTGAAATCTCCAAGTGACGTGAGGTCATTTGAAATCATCCTGGAATCACTTGAAGTCATCTAGAGTCAGTCAAAATCTAATTACGAAATGAATATGAATTTGAGATAAATCAATGAAGATTCGTATAGCTAATCATATTGAAATATTTTTAAAACAAATATCAAATTTAAAAACTTTAACAATATTATCTTTTTCTAATAATATGTGTAATGCTCAACATTGGCAAGAATTAATTACATCATCATTACAATATTTATATGATTTTAGATTTGCATTTTGTTATTATTATGAAAATCAAATAAATGAATTTATTGATAAATAAAGAAAATGAACATTACCTAGGTGTATCCAAAAGTAATGTTGCCTCTATCTCATTTCTCTATTAAAAGGTCAAAAGAAAATTCTTTTTTTTTTACAGAAAGATAGAGAAAATGAAGCTCTATTTTTCTATACTGTTTGATTCCTACTTCAGCTAATATCATAGTAATAAATTTTCGATGCGAACTGTTTTTGTGTAAAACTTAACTTACGAGTAGGCCTCAATGAATAGTCACATTTTGTATTTTATTTTCTCATCTAGTAAGTTTTATCAAAAATCAAATATACCAGAAGATGCAGTGTGAAAAGCTCTACAATTTACAAAGAACACTTTGTTTTTATTGCGTACTTTTTGTTTTCAAAATTCTGTGTGATCAACTTTCGCAACGGTGAAAGTTGATCTCACAGAACTTTGAAAACAAAAAGTACACAATTAAAATAAACTGTTCTTTGTAAATTGTAGAGCTTTCCACGCTGCATCTTCTGGTATATTTCACTTTTTAAGAAAACATATTAGATCATAAAAAGATGAAATAAGGAAAAAAAGTTTTTCGCTTGTATAGAAAAAAATGACTTTTCGCAACAGCCACAATTGGTCGCACAGAGTTTTGCTTTTTTTCAAAAACAAAAAAGTATACAATTGAAATAAGCTTTACTTTGTAGATTGTAGAACTTCTCACGCTGCATCTTTTGGTATATACCGGCTTTTAATAAAATGTATTAGAAACGCGTGCATTCATTGAGGCCTACTCGTTAGTTAAGTTTTACACAAAAACAGTTCGCATCGAAAATTTATTACTATGATATTAGCTGAAGTAGGAATCAAATAGTATAGAAAAATAGAGCTTCATTTTCTGTATCTTTCTGTAAAAAAAAAGAATTTTCTTTTGACCTTTTAATAGAGAAATGAGATAGAGGCGACACTACTTTTGGATACACCTAAGTATCTTAGGAAATGATATCTCTAGTTATTGGCAGTGCATTTTTAAGAAAATAGAAGAAACATAAAGTAATAGTGCTTTCGACGATCCTCTCAGATGATGTTCAATTTAAGAGAAACCTTCTTAAAGTTTTTATTTTTTAAATCTTAGTAAAACTTATTTAAAACTAGAATTTGGAATCGCATAGCACTTGATAGTCAGAAACAGTTATACTGCTGAAACAATGCCGTCTCAAGTATTTTCATAGTTAATTTTGAATCGATCAACTACAATCTAATAATCTTGTCCACATGACTTTTTGATAAAAAATGAAGTTTCTCTATGCTATTTTAAACATTTCTGACATTGACGATTGGTCTTGATTGGAAGCTATTCAAATGATTTGAAACAGAAGTCGATTGTAGACTACAGTGTTTTATTGAACATGACCATCGACAGAATGAGATTTCCCTAGAAAACAGATTCATCCAATACAATAATATCTACTAGTTTCAGCGAAATTCTATATGGTCTCTTCGACATAGAAAATCTCCATAAAACCTTGTCGGAAATCTCTATTTATGAGAGATTTTGTCGAGAAAACATCCAATTGAATCATAATAGTTTTCAAAAATAATGAAACTTAACAAAATCTCTTAATATTCTTCTGACTTTATGAGAAGAGATGGATATCCTAACTATTTTTAGACATTTTTAAATAATAATATAAACAATTAAATAATAGTATTATTCATCATAGTTTCAAAAAATTCTTTCTAAAGATTTTTAATAGAAAATAATCGGATTTTCTATTGCTTTTTAACAGAAACACGACATTATCATTTGTAGAAAAAAAAAGAGCGTTTAATTTCAGTTTTAATTTTCTAATATTAATCAAATTGAAATAGTATTTTACATAAATTGATTTTTGTCATTGAATTTAAATTCATCTTCATCGAAATCAATTTTCATTAAACTAATTTTACTTTTAATTGCTTTCATAATGTTATTACACGTTTTTAATTTAAAATGATGAAATTTTAATAAATGTTTTTTTAATGAACCTGTAAAAATTAACCTTCTACAATTATAAGATTTTATTTTATTTAATGGACATCGAATACGACGAAAATATGGATCAATAATATCGAATTCAGTTTGAAAAATACATGTTGTAAAAGGATCTAATTTATTAATTATAGCTTTTGTTAATGTTGATGATAATATCCATTTTAAATGATGATAACGATTAAAATGTTTTACTAAACAAATATCAGATATTTTTCTGTTTGATGAACATAAACGTAATTTATGTTTATCGGTCAAACCATATATACCAAGACGAGTTAAAGGACATTGACCGTAGAAATGTTTCACATTATTATATTTTATATTAGTATTTAATTTATGAGAATAATTAACATCTGCATTGGTGTCAGAATTAAACGAAGAAGATGTTTTCATGTCATTTTTATTACTAAAAAAGAACGTAAAATTAAATAATAATAAAAGTTTTATAGATGTTGAAGAAGAGAAAGAGAATTTTCATTACTTTTCTTTTGCAATTGTATCTTGATGATATTCATGAATTTTTGTTAAATATAATTTAATTTGTTCAATTTCATATTGATATAGAAAAGTTTGATCATTTTTAACGTCATTTAAAAGTTGAAGTTTTTGTTTTATTAATTTTTGTGTTGAAATAACAAATTGAAACTCTTGTTCGAGTTCATTTAATTTATTATTATGATTCTCATTAACAAGAAAAATATCTTTTTCATAATTATTATTAAGATTCTTTTTAGTTTCTTCAATTGAATTAATTATTTCATTTAATGATTCAGTAACTCTATTAAAAGATTTTTCATATTGAGCGAGAAATAAAGCTTTATGTTCAATCGTATGTTCTTGGCATAAATCTAATTGACAATGATTTGAACATGTTGCTGATATTGAACGAGTGCAGAATGGATGTTCACAGACTTTAGACATAAATGTGGGTATTTGTTGAGATAATATCTATTCAAACTAAAATAAGTGAATGAATGGAAGAGATTTTGAACGTTTGGAAGGAGGATTGATGAGAAAGAAAACGGAAGTCTTTTTTTTTCTGTTAAAAAATAATAGAGGTCACTAGTAATAATATAAAATAGAATAATGAATTAATATATATTATTGATCAAGTTATTTTTGTTTTTCTTAAAGATTTCAAAAGTTTTTGCTATACGAGATTCTGATGGTGGCAGATATTTAGCTAGAACATATGTCTAGCAGGACTCTAGATAAACACGAATGCAACGAAAACAAAATGTTGCACAACGTCAGTTAGCTTCTCCTGTTCTATCCCGTGGAATCTTCAAAAAAACTTTTGAGCTCTAGTTCTTTCTAACAGGACAATTTGTCTACTACGAGCGAGAACCCGTGCATACTGCACGGCTGTTTCCTCCTTTAACGTATGACCTTGAACGTTTAACTTTTGATCCGGTAATAAACATATAGACACTCGATATTATGTACATAGATAGATAGTCCTACGACCTGATGCTCTTATATCGCACATATTTTTATAGTCCAGGTAGCCTTCGGCCTTATATTCCTTGTAGCCCTTGTAGCCTTTTCTCCTTATTACTTTACCCTTACTACCTACCTCCTTACTGCCTTACTCCCTTGAGAGCATATGGGTAGCCCCCATATAGTAGCCCTTAACGACCTATGGATATCCCCATAGAATAGCTCTTGAGGACCTATGGTTACTTCCGTATAATAGTCCTTGAGGGCCTATGGGTACCCTAATATAATAAGGGTGTGGGGTTGGGGTGGGGATAGGTGTAAGTTTGAGTATGGGGTGTGGGTGTGGGTGTGGGTGGGTGTGGGTGGGTGTGGGGTTGGGGTGGGGATAGGTGTAAGTTTGAGTATGGGGTGTGGGTGTGGGTGTGGGTGTTGGTGGGTGTGAATGGGTGTGGGTGTGGGTGTGGGTGTGGGTGTGGGTGTGAGTGAGTGTGGGTGTGGGTGCGTGTGGGTGTGGATATGGGTGTATATCTCCATCCATACCCACCCACACACCCACATCCATACCCACCCACACCCACACACCCACATCCATACACACCCACACCCACACACCCACCCACTCACACCCACACCCACACACCCACATCCATACACACCCACACACCCACCCACTCACATCCACACCCCCAGAATATTTTCGTCCTTCTATTTCTTGATTGTTTTATGTAGCACTACTGTTTAACTCATAAATGTTGAGCCCATAACACGATCTTCCATTGAAAACGTCTCTATAACCTGAAAACTCATTAGAATGAACGCTATAAACATTCGCCAGGCAGTTTTTGCTCGAAATCAATCGCTTTTTAGTCAACATTTCGTTGAATGAATTCCCAATGTTTTTTGGGACTATCACTAACTAGAAAACCTACTTAAAGTGAACTTTTTTTGTTCTATTCCTATTCTTACAAACTTTTATGCGCCAAAAAAACGAAACATTTTTGCAGAGTGAACATTTCAAAATATTCGCTTGAATGTTGGAATAAGAGTTTTCCTATAGTCCTCTGCACTCATTCCCGTGACTTGTATGACGTTTATGATAATTAACAATTAGTTCTACTATATTATTATCATGATAATACTATGAAAAAAAGATAGACAGGCCTTGACAGGTAGGCCAGGCAGGCCGGAAAAAACGACAGGCAGGCAGGCTAGGCCGAGGAAATAAGATGCCAGGCACAGGCAAGCTGAGAAGGATGTGGGCCTGGGATGGGCAGGCCAGGCCTACAAAAAGTAGGCCTGCTTTATGCTCTGATATATAATGTATAGACATACGACGTATATATATAATTTTTTTTTCGTTCTATAACCAATCATATGAAAGTTCCTGAAGAAGAAAAACACTTGTACAATATAATATAGATTAAAAACAATGAGCTCTATCAAATGACACATTCAAATTACGCATCAAAGATAAAAACAAGTAAGATTGACTATAAAAGACTGGTGGTCATCATAGGCGAATCGTTTTGAGAAACTCTCAAATCAGTCGCTAGTTTCCTTTACATGATGTAACTGACCTTAGAGATGACTCATAGTATTATGATATCATACTGATGTATTACAAAATGTTTTATATACAGGTAAAATTATAGCAATATCTTTGAAGCTCAAGATAACATCTCTTTTCTTTTCTTTTCTTACTCCTCTGACTATGAGAGCAATAAATATATATAAAGGAGTTTCGAAAAATATTTATTCTATTTTAAGTTTACATTTCTTTTAGAATGTAATGCATACCAATCCGGCGTACACTCAATTTGACATTGAAAATCATAGACAATCCAAATGGTGGCATCATCGTTGGGTTAAGATCCTAGGCATCGTTTTCATAGTTTTAACAATTGTAGCGGTTACTCTATCTTTGTTGTTAAAATTTGTCATTCTTGCTCCAACGAAGCCAGAAAATATCATTACTAGCACATCATCTTCAAGAGTAACAACAATAATAATAACAACAGCAACGGTCGCATCGACAACAATAGAATCAGCAACAACAGACACATTGCCATTAACATCAACATCAACGACAACAGAATCGACAACAATCACATCGACAATAACATCAACAACAGTCACATCGACAACAGTAACCAACACTCCGCAATCAAGTGAGTTTGAGAGTTACACTTCTCCAAAGTAATGTGAATAAGATAAATCTTAAAAAAGAAACCTTAGTAAAAAGACGACGCACTGATTGTGGCAGGACTAATTGTTAGTTATTAATACCATCACATATAAACTTGTATTTGGTTCAATACACATTCTTCCTAGAAAGAATACATACTAATGATCTTGTTTAGGATGGCTTAATACGAGTAATATGAATGACGGACGGCATAAGCATACAGCATCCTTGTTAAAAAATGGAAAGGTATTAGTTGCTGGTGGCAATGGGGAACATGTCCTTAATAGTACTGAGCTTTATGATCCATCCACGGAAATGTGGACAATTACTGATAGCATGAATAATTCACGATATGCACACACAGCATCTGTATTAGCAGATGGAAAAGTATTAGTTACTGGCGGATACGATGGTAATGCATATTTGAACACTGCCGAGCTGTATGATCCATTAACAGAAACTTGGACAGTTACTAGTAGCATGCATGATGCACGAAGTTTTCATGCAGCAAATGTATTAACAGATGGAAAAGAATTAGTTACGGGTGGATATAGTGGCAAGACTATTTTAGATAGTACTGAGTTGTATAATCTATCTACTGGAATGTGGACAGTCACTGGTAGTATGAAGCAAGCACGAGATGGGCACACAGCATCCCTATTAGCCGATGGAAAAGTATTAGTTATCGGGGGTTTTGGCAACGGTAATCCTCTAAATACTGCTGAGTTATATGACCCATCCACAGAAACTTGGAGTACTAGGTCTAACATGCATTATGAACGACAATATCACACAGCATCCGTATTAACAAATGGAAAAGTTTTAGTTACTGGTGGATATCATCGTAGTGCGACTGAAAATAGTGCTGAATTGTATGATCCATCAACAGGACGTTGGACAATTATTGATAGCATGAATGATGCACGACATAATCATCAAGCATCGCTATTAACTAATGGAAAAGTATTAATTACGGGTGGTTATGGTGCGCATATTTTAAATAGTACGGAGCTGTACGATCTAGCAACAGGAATTTGGATCAATGGTGGCAACATGAATAATGCACGAGATTATCATACTGCAACCATATTAACAAATGGAAAAGTGATAGTTACAGGCGGAGATCGTGGTAGCACTTCTCTAAATTCTACCGAACTATACGATCCATCAACAGTATTAGTGGTATAAATAGATTTAAAACATTGATACAACTGTCTTTTTCTAATAACAATGAATTATTTATTTTCATTCATTTTTTAACCCATTCAGCCCGATTCAGTTTTCTCAGAAAATTTTTTCGAGACGTTCA